CTTGGCTCCTCAGGGAGCAGGGAGGAGGGAGCGCAGGAAGAACTTCAAGGGCGGAGGAAGGAAGCTCTAGAAGCTGGAAGAGACAAAAGGACTGACTCTCCCCAGGCGCCTGGAGAGGACGCACCCCCGCGGGCCCACGAGAGACTCCTGACCTCCCTCACCGCGCAGCGGGGGGCGGGAAGCCGTGCTCCAGGGACGCCCTGTGGTGTCCATGCTGCCACCAGGCTACTGGCTGGAAACACGGATGGGCTCACGAAACCCCCACTGAGAACCCTTCCCCGTCTCTGTGTTACTGTGAACGTGAAACCCAAAAGCCATCAGGTGCCACGCGGGCCCTGCAGGAGGCCCCTGCCCCCCACACCAGTGTCTGAGTCAGACTGTCTGGGCGCGTGGCAGACACCAGGCAACCCCTGTGGAAGGCACGGGTGGACGAAGCGGAGTTACAGCCACGGCGGCGGCGCACGTGCTGGCGCCTCTCTCTCTGCTCCGCTGACGTCAATCGGCTTCATGGGACACAATGCAAACTCAGGAGAACGCAGAGACTGAACATTTTCGGGGGCCGCAGTTTGGGCACTAGATGCACGTACACACTGGGACCAAAGGTCTTCTTCGCAGTGAAGAAGGTTGAGAGCTGCCCACTCCCGCGGGAGCCTTCAGCTCGCCCCAACGTGCGGCCCAGGTGGCGCGAGGGGGGTTTCCAGCCCGCGCCGAGGACCGGCGAGGCCGACCGTGGGCACACACAGGGAACGCTCGTACCTATTTCTAGCCTGGATTTATCTCATTTTCGTGACTGTCCTTTTTCATAATATGAGGCCTTCTAAATTCAGAAGGGTGCCCGTGGCTGCAAGGTGTCCACGGCACAACAGACCTCTGCCCCACCCTCACGGCACTCTCTGCTCATGGCTTTTATTCACCTTTGGGCATGCGGTCTACACAGAAAATATTGGGTCGGCCCAAAAGTTTGTTTAGTTTTTTTCATGTGATAGTTCTAAGAGCGTTTAGTTGTCTTTAACTTCATTCAAAACAATTTTGGTAGAGTATATTGTGACAGCTGTCATATTAGTATGCGTTTAAATGCAAAGCAATTTATCAAAACTGGTGAAGTTGTGGGCAACCATTTGTGCCCTGACCTGGGATCAAACCCGCAACCTTGGCATTTTGGGATGACACTCTAACCAACTGAGCTACCTGGCCAGGGCTAAAGAATATGTATTTTTTTTAAAAAACATTTCATGTTCTAGTTGTTTTTTGGTAATGTACAGAGAAAATACTTTAGTCAAGTTTGTTCAGGTATAATTTAAATGCAGAAAACTTTGCCCTTTTTAGTGTGCTGTTTATGTGTTTGACACGCACACCCACACCCATGTAAAAACCCCCATTTTAAGGTACAGGGGATTCCATCACACCCCCACGTCCCCGCCCCCCGCCCCCCTGGTCGGTGCCCCCTGGCCGTCCGCAGGCCCTGCCAACAGCTGCTCTCTTCCGCCTCTTTCGTTTTGCCTTTCCCAGGAAGTCATATAAATACCATTATTCTATGTGTAGCCCCCGGGGCCTGGCTTCCTTGACCTGAGTTCAGACACGCTGCTGGGTGTGCCACTGAGCACTTCCTCACACTGCCGAGCGCTATTCCACAGTCTGAGTGTAGCGCAGTTTACCTGCCCATTCACCTGCTGGAGGAAGTTCGGTTCATTTCCAGGTTTGGACTGTTATCAGTAAAGCTACTTGGACCATTCGCATACATCTTTGTGTGTGTGAACACAATTTTGTTTCTCTCAGGTAAATACTGAGTTGGCCAAAAAGTTTAATTTTTTTCTGTAAAATAAGACACTGATTTTTCATTTTCACCAATAACTTCATTGACTTGCATATTTTGAATATGTCAGCTATCTTCCGCATGGTATAGCATTGATTGTTCTCAGAGAATGTCTCGCTTGGATTGCTAAAAACTTCCACTGGTCTACCCGACTGTGGAGCATCATCCATCGAGAAATCTCCAGCACGAAACCTCCCAAACCACTTTAGACACCTTCAGTCGGTCACAGCACCTTCTCTATACACTGCACAAATCTTTTATTGCATTTCAGTTGTTTTTTTAACCTTTCTTAAAATAGTAAAGTATAATATGGCGAAAATGTTGCTTATTTTCTTCCATCTTCAAAATTAAAATGGCTACACGAAAATTCAACAATTTTGATAAGTTTCTAAAGCATGCTGATATAACAGCTGTCACAATGAAGTCCAACAAAACTGTTTCGAATGAAGTTAAAGACAACTAAGTGCTACTAGAACCATCTTACAGGAAAAACAAACATTTTGGCCAACGCAATAGTTTTTTTCTTTTCTTTGGGTAAGTGCTCAGAAATGGAATCGCTGGATTGTATGGAAGGTCTATTTTCAACTTTTGGAGGATCCTCCACACGCCTTTCCACAGCGGCTACAATCCCATCTGTAGTTCACAAGGGCTCCCTTTCCTCTACATCCTCACCGCCACCAGCCTGTGGATATAAACATACTAACAGGTATGCAGCTGCATATCCCTAATGACTGGTGATGTTGAATGTTTTTATGTATGCTTGATTAACAACCATATCGCTGCTTTTGTTACATTTATTCCTACGTTATATTCTATCTCTATATACCTCTATATAATTTTAGTTACTAGAATTTATAACTGCTACTATACATTTATATTTCTTTTCACTGCTACTGCATAAAAATTCAATTGATTTTTATATATTAACCTTGAATCCTAAGACCTTGCTAAATTCTCTTCCTAGTTTGAACAGTTGTTTGATTCCTGTGATATCTATGTAGACCATTGTGTAAAACAGACACTCCTTCTCCTTCCCAATTACTATACCTGTTTTTTTTTTTCTTGCCTTATGTTAATGGTTATGAACTATGCACAAGAAGTACTGAGCCTGGGCATCCTTACCGCTGATATTAGCGGAAAGGTCCATATTTACCATTAAGTATATTGGCTACACATTTTTATAGACACTCTCTATCAAATTGAGAAATTCCTCTAATCTTAGTTTTCTGAGAATTTTTGTCATGAATGGGTGTTGAATTTTAAGTGCTTTTCTTCTGCATCTATTGGGATGATCATAGTTTTCCCTTTTTGGTCTGGTAATATGGTGAATAACATTGGTTTTTCAAATGTGAAATCCATTTTACATTCTTAAAATGAATTCAACTTGATTAACCAAACTGGCTGGATTCAATTTGCTAATATTTTACTAAAGATATGTTTTTATGTTCATGTGGATATTGATCTATATATTTTTTGATAATATTATTTCAGTGTCTTAATCAGTGTCATGCTGACCTCAAATGAGAGGAAACGCGTTCCCTCTTCTATTTTCTGAACAAAAATTGTGCAAGATTGGTGTTATTTCTTCCTTAAGTGGCTGATAAATTTGACCACTGAAACCATATGGGCCTGGAATTATCTTTGTGGGAAGTTTGTTGAACAAAATTCAACTTCTTTAATAGTAAAGAGCTATTCAGATTTTAAAATGTCAGCTTGTTTCAGTTCTGATAAGTTGCAGTTTTCTAAGAATTCGCGCATTTCACCCACAATGTTGAATTGGTTGGTGTAAAATTGTCCATAGTATCTCCTTTTATCCTGTTACTGTCTGTACTGATAGACTCTTTTACATTGAGTCTATCAGTACAGACAGTAACAGGATAGGCACAGTAACAGTAACAGTAACAGTAACGGCTGGGATAGGCACAGGCATATGCCTTCTTTACTGTGTTGGGAAGTTGGATGGAATCAATGCTGTGTCTCTGTATGGCTTCTCAAAATGGGCTACTTATCACCCCTGAAGACAAAAGGTCTGAACATTGGAAGCCACAGGAATACCATGGCATACAGATTTTTTAGGAAAATTTTAGAGAAACTAGGTAATTTAAAGTTTTATTGAAAGGACTTTAAAAACAATAAAGCGTAAACTTTACAAGAAGCTGATTTCGTTTATTTCTTTAGATAATTGGTAGAGTGTCGTGGAACTCTCCCAGTTTAAGGATTTAGGGCTGCGCGCCCACTCCTTTGCCAATTTTTTCACTGCTTTCTTCTTCGGAGAAAAGAAGAGAGTGGAGTCGAACGCAAGTTCTTTCCTTTCCGTCTGCAGAAGCCCGCACACCCGGAAACGCAATGGTTACACACACCAGGTGGGAACAAAAAATAGGCCCAGTAATTTCAAGGGACTGAAGGGCTCAACTGAGAGCGAGTGCGTCTTGAACACCCTGCCTCGGTCTAGACGCTGCGTCTTCGGTTCCGATCATTTTAAAAACAGCGTCCCTCCCGCGCAGAGTCCAGGGCGACTCGGGGAGCCGGCTAATGCAAGCTGCCATTTACGGAGCAGTGGTAAAAGCGGCGAGGTGTGAAGAGTCGCTTCTCACCGCGGCAAACGGTGCCGCACTGGCGTGCCTGCAAGGCGGCCGGCTGACCGCCGCCGGGCCGGCGACAGGCGCGGGGTGGCAAAACTGAAATAGAGTCAGAGAGACCGCCGGGCCCCGCCCACGTCCTCCTGGCACTTCCCATTGGCCGTCAGCCGACGCGCGTGAGTGACGTCACTAAGGCGCCGCCGGAAAGTGCGCGCAGGGCGACGTTGGCGGAGGGGGCAGGTGAGCCGACGGGGGGCGCGCGCCGCCGGGAGGGGGCGCCGGGAGCGGCTGGCTGTCCAGGCGCGTGGCCAGCCCTCGGGACAGACGGGCCGGGGTGGCGACAGGCTCGTCCGCCCTGGGGGCCGGAAGCCGACGGAGAGTGCCGGGCGATCCCGGACACCTTCTGTCCCGCGCGGCTGGGTCCCCGAGGTCTCGCTAAGCCTCTCTGTCCTGCGCCTGGTTTCGGGAACGCCGCTTCGGGGACAGCCCCCGGAGGCTGTCCGAGGGGCGGCGGAGGGGGCCGAGCGGTGGGCTGGGACGGTCCCTGCCCACCGATCGGAGCGGTTCTCCGGCCGCTTCCGGTGCGGCCGCTCTCGGAGGCCACCTGGCGTGGGAAAAGCTGCGCTGCTGGCGGGCCGCGGGCGGGGCAGGGACGGGAACTGCAAGACCGCAGCGCACTCACCGTGTTCACGAGGCCTAGGCAGCCCCGTGGCCCCCTGGGCCAGGGATGTCACGAGGGGAGGGGAGCGAGGCTGACGTGCCCTAGGTGACCCCGGGAGATCTGCTCTCCCTGCGAAGCCGAACCACTGTGCCGGCGGCCGGCTCTCAGAGAGCCTGTTGGCGGCGAGCCGACTCCGGGAGCCCCCCGGGACCTAGCCCTCCGACCGGCCCCTTCCCTTTTCCCTCCGAGCAGGAGAGAATGTCTCCCGGTCGGTCCGTACAGAAAACTGCGGTGCGCCCCTTTGTTTCCCGGCACTTTTAAATCCCGTTCCTGTGCGGGCACGTCTGTGTCGCAGATGCTAAGGTGCCTGCGCCGCTGGTGGCTGAGCGGTGGCGAGGCTGGACTGAGGCTGCTGGAACGCCACCTGTTCACCATGAAGCTGCAGTCCCCGGAGTTCCAGTCCCTGTTCACGGAAGGACTGAAGAGCCTCACCGGTGAGATTCGCTGCCTTCTTCGGAAGCCTGCGTGCCTGGGGCAGGAGGCGGGTCATGCGTTTCAGCCACGTTATGGGTGGGGAGAGAGGGCTGGAAGACAGACGCCTACTGCCCTACTAGGGGCAATTCAGAGCTATAGCCAAATTACGAGAAGAGGGAAGAAGCGACCAGTATAAAGCGTATTGTTCTAGGTGTGCGAAGTGCTACATCCAGTATCGGCCGCTGCCTTAGGTAGCAGGTACGTTTTCCCAGCGGAAGGACAGGCATGTGAAAGGTGCCACCAGCGTTGACGGAGCAACGCCTGCGGGGCTGGGCTGTCCTCCCTGGGTAGGAGTGCCTTCTAGAACTTGAAGGCCAGGAGAGACCGGCGTCCCTGGACAGGGTGCGTGCAGAGCTTCCCGGGAAGGCGGCGGGAAGAGCCCCGTCCACTTCCCAGTCTGTGTCCCTTACGCTGTCCTCAGGCTCGGCTGCTGCTCTGCCTGTCGGAGTCAGTGGCGTTTTTAGTGGCACCTTTGGCAACACGCTATGTGTCTGTGTGTGGAAACGTGACCTACACCGTGGGGTGCAGCCCGGGCTTCCATCAGGTCACGGGGGCGCTTTGGAAGTGTGCGAGGCTGGGTCCCGCCTGACCTGACCTGGAACCTCTGGGGAAGGGGGCACCTTGAGAGGCGTGAGAAAACGCCACTCCGTGGCTCCTGGTGCGCAGAGGTGGGGGAGCCTCCGCTTTAAAATGGCTTTGCTGGGTAAGCCTGTTCCTGGAGCTGCTTCCTGTCCTTGACGTTGGATCATTTGTTTAGGTCAGGATAAAATCGTGCCGTTCTTAGAGTTTTTAGGCCTCCTGTTCCACACAGGCACATACGGACACCTTCCTCCGTGGTATTACCCTGTTAGGACTGTGAGTTTTATGGGAGTGGTTGTGCATTTCCGTAGGGCTAAGCAAAAACATGACGCTGTTCCTCTGAGTTCCGGGTCCCTTTCCTGTCACCAGTGAATGCACTGGGCGACCTCGCCGTCCCAACTGGAGTGCAGTGGAACCAGCCTGAGGGTCTTACAGTGGTCGCCTGCGCGTGCGGCGTCAGCCGCCTCACTCTGCGAAGGCAGATTCACGTGGAAAGAAAAGCACGTCTGTTCGTTGCATTTTAAACGTTTCTTAGACGCTATTTGAGTTTGGAGACGATACAGGCATTCCCGGGCCCGGGACCCGAAGACGCACGACCCGCCGTGAGTGCTTGGCCCCCGCAGGGCAGCGTTCTGGCTGGAGCCAGCACCGGGTTTACAGGGCGAGGGCTCGCTGGCGAAGTGGGGGACGGAGCCGCTGCCCCACACAGCCCCTTGCGAGTGGCGTTGGCTTCCTCCACTGAGGCTCATTAGTCCAGGGGTGGGGCGTCCAACTGGGGGGAAGGAAATTCAGACTTTTCGGGAAAGGGGTGGCGATTTCTGGGAAGAGCTCCATGTCGTGACCTTTTATGGGCTTTCCTGTGTCGGTCAGGGCGGCCCAGGTGCGGGGCTCAGCTGCCCGTTAGGTGCAGTTAGGCACCTGATCGGCCCCAGCTGGTCTCTGCAGGGCCTAAGCCGGGGCATCCACGGGGGGCCCACAGGCCGCGTGCGGCCCAACGCAAAGTCGTAAGTTTACTTAAAACATGAGATTTTTTTGGTTGTTACATGTCACGTTGTATTTAATGTGTGGCCCAAGACAACACTTCTTCAGTGTGACCCAGAGGTGCCATGAATCCGGTGGGGCTGGTCATCCTCGGCAGTATCTGTAGCTTTTATCTGTTGCTGCTGTTCTGCCATGTACCCTGTCTCACAGAAAGAAAATCTTTTCACAAATATACTTCCCAGTAAAGCCCCCTTCTTTATTAAGCTAGGACGCCACAGTTCGGCTCCCGTGTGAGCCAAGCTTGTGGGAAGGTGAGGCGGTGTTCCACCCCGAGAAGGGGGAAGCAGGGGATTCTGATGCGCTTGGGGCAGATGAGGACAGGCGCGTCCTGCGGCCTAGAGTGAAACCCCCGGCCTCCCGCCCCAGGAGCTCCCCTGCGGGGCGCAGGCGGCCTCCACGGAGTGTAGGGCCACGTGGGGCCGGGGCGGACCGCTGCGGGCTCGCGCAGGCGGCGAAGCCACGGACCCCGTGCTCTTTAAAGGAAACACGCTGAAAGGGAAACGTCTCTCTCATCAGAATTATTTGTCAAGGAGAACCACGAGTTACGGATCGCAGGCGGCGCCGTGCGGGACCTGCTGAACGGCGTGAAGCCGCAGGACGTGGACTTTGCCACCACCGCCACGCCCGAGCAGATGAAAGGGATGTTCCAGTCGGCCGGCGTGCGCATGATCAACAACAAGGGGGAGAAGCACGGGACCATCACAGCCAGGGTGAGCGTCCGGCGGCCCCGCTGCCTTTCCGCCCGCCCTCCTGTTTCTAGTTAGAATAAGAGACAACGACGAAAGCCTCCCTGGCGCCAGCCTGCCCCCTCCCACCACCCCGTGCTCCCCCCGCCCCCCGTGGTTCACTCGGGCCACCTCGCGCAGCTGCTCGATGCCTTGCAGCCGCGGGCCGTCCCTCCGGCCATGACATACAGGCGCCTGGTTGTCACCTCCTCGTCGGTTGGCAGCGAGGGTGTCCTCGGGGCGGGGCCCCCCTGTCCTGCCCCGTTACTTGTCCGAGGCGCCGTCTTGTGCGTCAGACGCACCCTTTTTAGCTGGGAAGGGTTTATGAATTTTTTAAATATTCTTTGGCTCTGTCCTTGAGTATCGGGGGTGCCCTCGCTGACCCGAAACCGAAGGAAGACGCCCTTAGGGACTCGTGTGTCTTTTCCGTCCATCTAGTGACACTAAACACTAATTTTTAAAAAACATACATTTAACTGCAGCTTCATCAGGAAAATTTCGAGATCACCACGCTGCGGGTTGACGTCACCACCGACGGAAGACACGCCGAGGTGGAGTTCACGACCGACTGGCAGAAGGACGCGGAGCGCAGGGACCTCACCATCAACTCCATGTTCCTAGGTAACGCCGGTGGCGAGCCTGGCGTGCCACCCGGGGGACCGCGTGCCGGCGCGGCCACAGCGGGACTGGACTCCGGGCCCCGGGTCCCGTCCGACCCGTCGCTCGGGAGCTGTGCGGTGAGCGCGGCGTTGGCCGCCTCGGGGGCCGTCGTGAGGGCGCAGGAGCTGACGAGGTGGGTCCCTGGAGCAGAGCTGGCACCTGCGCAGCCAGTGAGTGTTAACTCAGCAGTCGCTCCTGAAAACGCCGCCACTCGGGTGGGAATATGCGTGTGCGCTCACACGCAGAGTCACGCCCCACACGGCCCGTGTGGCGTGCCCGCTGTGCGTGTTCGCCCGCTCCCTCCCGCGCCCCCAGCCCACGCTGGCCACGACCCCGCACGTGTGTCGCCTGTTGCTGGCCTGGACGGTCCCCCGTGCAGGGCAGTGCGTTAGGCAGGCGTCCTCTGTCCGGCGGCTGGGGAAGCCTGGTGGCCACGTCCGCTCACCATCCGTTCACGGGGGCGGGCCGCCCGGCGGGGGTGGGCGGGGCTTGGGTTCGTGTCCCTCTTTGCAGCCAGAGCCCTGCTTGTGTCCTCCAAGATTCAGGGGGCCCTTTACCCCTAGGACTTGGGGTGAGGTGAGAGACGAAGCGGCCCCATGGTAACCTGCATTGTGACATTGGTTGTGGGGTCGGGGGGGATGGGGTTCGCCTCCTGCGGGGGGCGCCGCGGGCTGATGGCTTGAGGACAGGCGGGGCCCGGAGCGCTGCTCAGGGCTCGGCGCTGGCGTGCCCGCTGCTGCATGCACGCTGTGTCCCTGGCCCCCAGCGGAGCCGCGCGAGGTGGGTAGGGCCCCCCGCCCCACCCCCCGACGGGGAGGAAGTGACTGAGACGTGCAATGAGGTCGCGCAGGTCGCAGGAAGCCAGGACCTGTGCCTGGGGCCCAGGGAGTTCCCGACCAAGGGCGCCCAGCTGGCGGCCTGGCCCTCCCTGAGCCGGGCAGACTCGGGGCCTGCGTGGAGGTCCACACACAGGCTGTGCGGCCTCGCCACCGCCTCCCCAAGCGGCTCGACCAGGACAGAGCCGCTGCTGTGCTCTCCCGTGAAGGCCCTGTCGTATGGCCCCCCGCTGCCTGGCGGTGGCCGACCCCAGGCTGGCGCCGAGCACCGTTCCGGACCCAGCGCCTGCGGTGCGGACACTGCTCCTCCCTCGGCGGCGGGGAGGGGCGCAGGGCGTGCAGCCGGCATGCGCGGCCTGGGGTGGGGGCGGTGACGGGGAGGCCGCCCCGCTCGCGCTCGCTGGCCGTGTGTTTAAAGGAAGGGCATCTGGAGCGGAGCGGGCGGCGCCAGCGCGGCCCCCACTGACCTGGCAGTCGCCCTCTGTCCGGGCCTGGCTTTGCGCAACCACGGGTGAAACGTTCCTGGTTCTGGCATTTCTGGTTGCTTTGTTCCTCTTAGTTATGGGGAATAGCCTATGTTTTTTCCTCCATATTTGGATCTTTTTTGAAAAAGACCTAATACCCCTGCATTCACCAGGGACCGTTGAACCTCCTCATTAAGGAAAGTAGCACTGAGACTGAGGTACCTCGTCTGTTACTTTGTGATCAGATGTTTGTTTTTATTTCCCTGCATTTCTTTCTTTCCATTTCTCATTGTAATTTTGAATCTGGAGCCTTTTAAATGTGCTCCAGGCACCGAAATGCCGCGTGGCCCGAAGCAGCCTGGCGCGCGCCCTCCCCCTCCCGCGGCTCCCCCGCTCCCGCCGGCGGCCGCCGTCCTGGGCGTGAGCTTGGCCTCGTGTGCTCCTCCCGATTCCACGCGTGCGTGAGGGCACGCGGCGTTTGTCCGTCCCTAACCCGAGCCTGATGCCCGCGGGGCCACCCACGTCGCCAGGGGTGATTTTACTCTTTCACAGCTGAGTACGACTCCCCCACCACATGCACTGTGGTGGTTTCCGACGCTCACTGCCGACCGTCGCTCTTCTCCCCTTTTCCAACCCACAGGCTTTGATGGAACGTTGTATGACTACTTTAATGGTTATGAAGATCTAAAAAATAAGAAAGTGAGATTTGTTGGACACGCTAAAACAAGGATACAAGAAGATTACCTTAGAATTTTAAGATATTTTAGGTAAGAATTTTTAAAAATGGTACAATTTCTACTGCTCTTACCAGAGTACAGTCCTGACGCTGGGACGGGGCAGCAGGTCAGCGCACACGGTGCTGGTGTCCCGGGTGCTCGGTCCCCGGGTGCGGCTGAGCTGCGGCGTCCCCCGCCCCACGGCTTTGCCTTCCGGTCCCAGTTCCCCGTGGTCAGCCACACCAGGAAATGACACAGGGAAAATTCCAGACGCAGGCAGTTCAAAGGCTTTAAATTGCGTGCCCGTCCTGCGTGCTGGGGTGGCACCGCGCGCTGACCCGCTCCAGCCCGGGAGGGACGCGGCCGCCCCCTTGCCCAGCGCCCCCGCGCTGTGCGTGCTCCCCGCCCGCTGGTCGCGCCGCGGCGTCTCAGCCAGCGATGGGGGAGGGGCCGTTAGTGCTTCCCGCGCCCGACAGGTCCGGCAGGCTGTGCCGCCGGCGTGTGCTCGTGCGTAGGGAAAGCGTCGCACGGCGGCCCTCTCCGTGGCGCCGGTGAGCCCGGGGGCGGTGGGCTGTGTCCCCGAAGATGCGGGGCTGCGGTGTGATGTGTTACTTTGCAACTTTGTATTTTCATTCCCAAAACACACTCACTCTGTTCTGTGATCTTTTATAGAATTCAGCTTGAAATCATTTTTTTTAATATCAATATTTTCCACGGGGGATTTCCTGTGTCGATCCGTCCTAACACAGCAGTCCGGGCGCCCCGCACCCCGGGCCCGCCCCCGCTGGGAGCCGGGGACACGGGGTCAGGAGCGAACGCCCTCGGCTGCGTGTGGCTGAGCCTTGGTTCGGGGGACACCCCTTGTGAGCTTGGTGAGGGTGAAGCGCGTTTGCATGGCTGTGTGGGTGGCAGCGGCGTGAACTTGAACCTTCTCATAAACTCTGCTGGCTGGCTGGTTCATGTCTAGCAATTATAATTTTAGGTGGCTTTCAAAATCTTTCTAACATCTCATCTTTTGTCAATAGTAGTCCTTCAAAGCTGAGCCTTGGCAGACAGTCTCTTTTTAGGAAGAACAGAACACAGACTGGGACTGAGCCCGTTTGTCATTTAATTCAGATGCTAATGAACTGAACGGCTGTACTTTGAGGCATTAATTGGGAGATTCCGTGAAATCCATCCCAGCATCAGCAACTCGTGTGTCCGATTTCTAACTCGGAAAGTCCCGGCGTGACGGCCCGGCGGGCTTTCAGGGCGAGGGTGTCCAGTCCTGTCGGGGCGCCCGACGGGCCGCTCTTGGCTGTTAACCGGCGGTGGGTGCGGCTGGGTGCCGCTGGGGCATGGCGTGCGGCGGGAGGCCGAGTCCGGCGGCTTTCGAAAGCTACTTCTATTTATTGGCTCCTGAGGTTTCTCGTTGAGAGAGGAGAGAAGGTGGAGAACTGACCCTGTGGTTTCTGAGGCCCCTCCTGGTCCTGACTGATGATATGTTGTTTGTCACTAAGGATGGGTGGCCGGCACCAGCGGCTTGGAAAACCGACTCTTCCGGCCGCTGTGCCCACATAGGGAACGCATGCTGGGCGGTTCTGTTTTGCAGGTTTTATGGGAGAATCGTGGACACGCCCGGTGACCACGACCCGGAGACTCTGGCGGCCATCGCGGAGAATGCCAGCGGCCTGGCTGGAATATCGGGGGAGCGGATTTGGGTGGAACTGAAGAAGATTCTCGTTGGCAAGCATGTGAACCATTTGATTCACCTCATCTACGACCTGGACGTGGCGCCTTACATAGGTGAGGCCAGGGGACAAGATGTCTGCGCGTCTGGAGAGGAAATGTACCTGGTTTAAATTTCACAAGGGAAATCCGTTTAGTTTAAGATTTCTCAAAGGAGAACTGGAGTATCTTAAAATGGACTTGGAGGACAGGGGTGGAGCCGTTCTGTCCCCAGGAGGGGGCGGCTCAAAGGCCGCCTGGGCTCGTGGCGCGGGGCGTCCCCTCCGCAGCCCTGGGGCGCGGGGGCTCCCCGGTAGTTCCTGAATCTAAGATGGGGAAGGAGAACAGCAGCGACCCTTTAACAAAGGGCTGAGAGGTGCGATGAGGTAACACATGTGCAGCGCTTAGAACGGTGACCGACGTGGAAATTGTCCAGCGGCTGTTACGGTGACCGTTCAGAAGGGACAGGCGAGGCACCAGCGTGTCACTCGCTGGGGAACCTGAGTATGTTTCAAACAAAGACTCCTTGGGGGGCGGGCGCCCTGCAGCCCCCCGCCCGCGCATCGGCAGGAGTTGGCTGGACCCCCGCCCTGCCCCCCGCTGCGGCGGGCGCGTGCACGCAGACGCTCCAGGACGCCCCTCGGCGTGCAGGGCTGGGGCGGGACCGCAGCGGTGTCGGGGTCCCCGCGGGACGGAGGGGCGCCCGGTTGGGTGGACACTGAGTCCTCGTGTGCGGTGTTTTTCTGCACAGCAATCCCGTGGCTGGCTTGGCCCCTGGGGGGTGGCTTGTTGAATTTGTCCACTATGAAAATGGGTGAAAACGGTTTTTGTCCCTACTCCAGGCTTACCTGCTAATACAAGTTTAGAAGAATTTGACAAGGTCTGTAAAAATGCTGAAGGTTTTTCACCGAAGCCAATGACCCTCTTGGCCTCGCTATTCAAAGTACAGGATGACGTCACAAAGTTGGATTTGAGGTTGAAGATTTCAAAAGAAGAGAAAAATCTCGGTTTGTTTATAGTCAAATACAGGAAAGACTTAATTAAAGCAGCAGACAGCTCGGAACCACTGAAGCCCTATCAAGACTTCATTATAGACGTAAGTATGGAGCAGGCGTGGTCAGAGTGTAGCCCTTCTCACTCGCAGTCAGGCCGCCTCACTTACCCGGACAGCCCGTGTTCTGGGGGTGCCCCCTTGCGCGTTCATGTCCCCGTGGGATCGGGCCCCGAGCACGCCTGCGCACGGGCGGTGACCCCGATGTCGGCCTGCAGTGCAGGGAGCCTGACGCGGCCGCGCGCGTCTGCGAGCTGCTGAAGTACCAGGGCCAGCAGGCCCTCCTGCGGGAGCTGCAGCGCTGGTCCGTGCCGCCCTTCCCCGTGAGCGGCCACGACATCCGGCGGGCGGGCGTCTCCTCCGGAAAGGAGATCGGGGCGCTGCTGCAGCAGCTGCGGGAGCAGTGGAAGAAGAGCGGCTACCAGATGGAGAAGGAGGAGCTGCTGAGCTTCATCAAGAGGCCCTGAGGCCGCGGCCCGGTAAGACTGGCCTGCCCTCTCCCCCTCGGGGGGTCCGAGGCTGGGACGGACGGAGGCGTGAGGGCAGCCTGGGGGCTCTTTGGAAGGAGAAAGACGTGCACGTTGTGTGTGTGTCGTGGGCCTAAACTGAAGTCCACCTCCCTGTACCCCGGCTTCTGTCATTAAGCCCCCCAAGTCTCATGGGACAGTTCTTCTGGGAAGAGTGGAGCTGGTTTTGCCCGGCTGAGCCTGTCTTAGTATTAACATTTCTTGCATAGGGCAAGAAAAATTAGATCTGTGTTGAGGAAAGAGTGTCTCTTGGTGGTTCCAATGGGAATAACTGGGTTATTGTACACAACTGTCTCTGATGAGGGTCAGTTCTTATCTGAATTGCAGAATAAACTTACATTTGAAAGTAGCTGACAAACATGCACAAAATACCCTGTGATACGCGAGGCCAGCTGTGTCGCAGGCGCTGGGATCCGCGGCCAGCGTGTGGTTGGTAGCCCTGGTAGGAGGCCGTGGCCGGACCTGTGCATTTGCGCCCCAGGGATCCGAGCCCCACGTGCTTTCCGCGGGCAGCAGGCAGAGCAGGGCGGATGTCGCCTCCCCTGCTGTGCTCCAGCACCGTGTGACCGGGCGGCCTGTCCCTGCCCAGCCAGGAGAGGCGTGGATGCCGTGCTGACGGGCTCCCGCAAGGGAAGGCGCCCCAGAGCCGCGCGCCGGTCGGCACCGCCGGGCGGTGGGCGGTGGGCGGTGGGCGGCGCGCCCCGCAGCGCTGTGGTGCCCTGGAACGGACACGGGCCCCGCCACAGAACGCCAGTCACAGGCAGCCAGCGGGCCCGGCCGCCGCTCAGCGGTCCGGTGTGCCACGTGGACGCGCTTTGAGAAAGTAACGTGCACATTTCTGCGGGTGAGAGCTTTATTTGCTACAGTCCGTGCCCACCGTGGACGCTGAGCGGCGTGTCCCCATGGAGCAGCCGTGGTCCAGAGTGGCCGGGCGCTCAGTCCGTCCTTGGGGGCCCGGCCCAGGAGCCGTGCCGCCGTGGCACTGGGAGGCGGCGGACGTGTGCCCGCTCCACGCGTGCGGGTGTGCGGCGGTGGCCACCCACTAGGCTGTGGCCGGCCGGTAGGCGGCCGACGGCTGCTAGGCCGAAACCTAAGCAGCGCGCAGTCGGTTGTGGCCTCCTACGTTGTACTCGTCGGTGGGGCCGTTCCTGGTGAGTTACGGGAAGACGTGAACGAAGAGCAAAGCCGCAGGTAGTGAGCAGGTGGGGCGACGGCAGGCCCACCCTCCGAAGGGGGGGCAGGGGCAGGTCTCCCTCTGCCAGAGAACTTGATCTCAAAATTACTTCTCACGCCTGTTATCTGCTTGCGTAGGTATTTTTACATTATTTAAACAAAGAACATGTTTAGTTTTTGCTTACAGTTTACTTACAGATGTTCTCCAATTTACATTGAACAGAACAGCCTACAAACACAGCCGCCGTCGGCCTCTCCGAAAGGGCCTCCGCGTCGCGGCCTGGCAGGCGGGCACCGGCGACGCCACTGGAGCAGAGCGGCCTGTGCTGTCGTTTGGACACTGAGCAACACACGCGATGCTGGGTCTCTTACTCACACACACTTAAATGAAAATGAAAACTGTATCGTTGGGCTCAAACTGCGCATTTTAACTAACATTTTCAAAGTTTACAAATCAGTATCACAGAAACTAACAGTTGAACAAACCCCTTCAGGGCTTTAACCGCCGCCCACTGCCCGGCCCCCTAGGGAAGCAGCAGGCACCGCGCTGCACTGGCCTGTGCGCTTCTGCGCCCGGGAGCCGCCCAGCCAGGCCTGCGCTCCGTGCGGGAACCGCGTCCTGCCAGTGGCGTGCAGCGCGGAGTCCGAGTCCACGGGCCCTGGTCTGGGCAGCGGGCGCCCGAGCACCAAGCGGCCGGGACCGCGCCCACCCCCCTCCCTGGTGTCTCCCTGTGTCCTCGCACCCTTGGGGTGGAGCTGCCGCACCCCTCCCCGGACGCCCTCCTGGCTCAGCTCGCGCCTGCAGCGGGTCCGGAGCAGCCCCGGCCCCGGCCCTGTCTGCTCACAGGCACAGCACCACTTTGTCTGGGCCCATCTCGTCTTCGGTGTCGGGGATCATGGGCAGCAGGGCGGACCGAGTCAGCCCCCAAAACTTCTGAGGCGACATGTCCTTTTTGGTGGCTGTGAACTTCCATCCAATGTGGCTGGCACAGATCTTACACTGGGCCACAGTCCAGGCAAACCTACAAGATCGAGGGGTGCAATCAGCTAAGGAAACTGCGCCGCAAGCTTATACGCTAACCCCGTCAGAGACGTTTAGAGCCACATTCCTAAGTGTCAAGAACAAACGCTCTGATCTGTATGGGTCCCTGAACCAAAGCCATAAAATGGCACTCTGATTTGTCCATCTCCCGGGCGCTACGTATGGGTGCGGAAGCTGGGCAGTGCGCACGCTCTGTGGTCGCTCGCAGTGCGGTGTGGCGGGGGGCTCGCAGGCAGGGCGCTGTGCGGGCAGACAGCCCGCTGGACGGAGGGGGCGGGAGGGCGTTGGGGGGCCCATGCCGAGGGGCCGAGCCCACGGCAGCATCCCCGGGAGGGGGGCCCACCAGGGGGGGCGGGGGGGGGAGAAGCATGTTTCTCACATAAGCCAGAAAATCTGCTCAAGAACTCCTAAATTAGGGACTGTCAGAAATACAAGCCATGGCACTTGTTTGTAAGGAAAATAAACCAAACCATGGAATTGCAGCCGTTCCCTTATTTTTTCCCTAGCTATTTCCCACATTTAGCATTTACATTAATGAGTTAATTCTGGTTTCAGTCCTTGGACTAAATAATACTGGACAAGCCAAATGACATGGTTCTCGGTTCAAAACAACAAGTAAAATCCCAGATCCCCGCTCGGCTCATTTTGTCCCTTGAAGTAAAAAGGCTGGCCCAGGACTTAGAAGACACGTAACAGGGCCCGATGCTGCCGCAGTGGCGGGGCTCCCGCAGGCTGCGGGCGGTGCCGCTGCGCTGCCGCAGCTCACGCTCCGAAGGCCCCCGGGCGATCGGCCCGGCCTGGCTCTGCACAGCTGAGCAGGGGGCTCCCGGCGTGGCCCACCCGCTCACAGGGCGCCGTCAGCGAGACGGCGCAGCCACGGCCGTTCCCAACCGGTGGCGTAAGGGGCATTTAGACAGAACTACCGATTCCATGGTCCATTTCAGGTTATAAGTTTAGCAACACTGCTTAGGAATCTTTTTCTGCCCCATTAAGGCAAAACCAAAAAGTAAAAACACCCTTCCCCCGCACGCTGTTACCCGGGAAACCAGCTGTGCTCCGTGGACGGCCGGCCGGCCAGGCTCAGGTTGGAGGCCTTGTACACGGTCAGCGTCTCATGCACGTAGCCGTGCGGGTTCACGTAGGCTGCCATCGGCCCGCACAGGGACAGGCTGCGACAGAACACAGGGCGTCAGTCTGCGCGCGGAGGCCTGCGTTGCCGGGCTTTGTCCACGCAGACCAGGGAGCGAGGCCAGGAGCACCACCGTTCATGGCCTTTGTGCACTTCCACATAACAGCAGCACCTCCGAGTGAGAGCAGGAGGCTGGCAGGCAGCAGTGTCCTCCGCCTAAATGCTCCCACGTCCCAGAGGCAATGGGGACACGGGGTCCTCAGCCCGCCCGCCGCGGAGAGCGCTCCTCCCCGGCCTCACGTGGCACCGCACGGCAGGCAGGGCCACGGGCACAGGCGTTCAAGCGCAGCACCGGCCCACGCATGGGCACGCGCGTCCCCCCACCTGTGGCCCCTGCCGCTCGCACACCTGCCGCTGAACTGCACTGAGCGCCCCAGGCCTCGGGGGGGAGCCCCCTGCCGCGCGGCTTGCAGGGAGGACGGGGCGGGGCCGTCTGGCCCCACCCCCCCAGGGGCCCGCCCTTCACTCGCTGAGGGTGACTGACCGGGCAGGCAGTTCTGGGAGGGCAGCTGAGAGAGAGCTCAGCTTACTGAAAATGGAATAAATGTCTCACCTGAATATTTCGTTTTTGGTTGTTATTTCTGTTTCTTGACATTGTTTACAGCAAAGAGATGTACACTGAAACACGTAAGAGGAAATCAGCAGGGAAAATTCACACTCACGTGGTGATGTAATCACACAGGTCGTCAGAAAGCCTCTCTGAGGTGCACACACTCACTCATAAAACGAACAGCTCTTGGCTAAAGACACAGTGACTGACACACAACCAGAGAGGGTCACAAGGTCGGATGAAGCTGATCGAACAAAGGGACCCAGAGTTGGTGAGTGCATAACACCGAGCTGCTGTCTATGGTCCCAAGTGAAATGCGTAAATTGTCCTCTTCATTGTCTGGTTTTCTAGCGGCAGGACCAACGACAGACCCTATAGGTGGCTTCCGGGTCCCCACAGAGCATCCTCGCTGCCCAGACGGACCGAACGCCCATGTGACACATTCCTTTCACTCACCTTGTTCATAATGTCTAGTTCACAGCGAAGTCGCTGGACAGCGCTACCAATTTTGAGGAGCTGAATCCTTAGCACATCATCAATAGGAAGACAAGCCGCTACCCTGTAAGAGAAATCTGAGAGACGTGGCGGGGTTGTCAGGCGTTAAACGCACGAAGCGCACACCGCCCTTCCGAAGCCCTTCCCCGCAGGGATCCCGAGGCGCCCGTCCCGTGTGGCGGCAACACTGTGAAAACGTTCCGGCTGCCGGGCGTCAGCTCCTCCGCCCTCGGGAAGCTCTAAACTGTAACTTTCCCTGTACTTGTTTTCCTAAGTGCCTTCTTTTAAACCAAACACAAAATCTAACACCTGCTAGAAGGCACGCACTTGCTACAGGGAGCCTCACAGACAGGCACAAGCAACGCCCGAGGGCGGGCGACCCCTCGAGCGTGGGGTCGGGGTCGGCGGGAAGCGGGTGCTGGGGGAGCCGAGGGCTCCGCCACCGCTCACCGAGGGCGGGGCCTTCAGAGCAGCTCGAAGGGGAGGGAATGGGTATGCTCCTCAAAACTAAGACACCTGTTAGAAACCTCAAGTTTTGGATTTTGTTACACAGAAAACATGAAATTATTTCTACTGTCGAGACAATCTCAGGCCACAGGAGGGAAACCGACTTTTCATACCTATTGGATTTGAAGGCAGAGAATCATCTTTTAGATTTTCGTCCCATTCACGTAGCTGTTTCTTGATTCTGTCCATTAAGGTTTCCTTGTTTAAAATAAAAGGAGCCATTGTAAGGTTCACAGACCTTTACAATTTCCTGTCATTTCCCACCTCTCTCTAACGAAGCTAACAATCGCCAGCAGCAAGGTAAGGCGTCACCAGTGAAACCTGCGTTCCGGCGTGGACGTCTGTCCTCTCGCAGGGATGGGTCCAGAGCCCCAGCGGGCGGCAGGCGCCCTGCTCTCGCCGCAGGCCCCAGGCTGCCCGCCCCTCCCGGGAGCCTCTTCGGCCTCCGGCGCGGACCGAGGCCCCGCCAGCTGCGCGGGCGCTTCCTGCTCCCCGCCCGGGAGGGCTTCCTCTCTCGTTACAAGCTAGAAGCCCGTTCGCCCAGCCCGGGCCGCACTGCGGCTCCTGGGGGGCTGTGTGCCGGGCGAGTGCCGGGGCCTCCGGGGCCGCTCTCCCGGGACACCAGGCCGACGGGGCGGGGCTGTGCTCCGGCCTCGGGCCGCAGCCGCCAGTGTTCCCGTTCCACGGACACCAGCGACTTGCCCCCGACGCAGCGAGGGACAGAAATCAGGCAGCAAACGGTCCGTGCCCCCTGGGCCTGTCCCCGTGGCCCCCGGGCCTGTCCCCGCACCCTGCCCCCGCGTGCTCCGCAGGGTGGGTGCCGCCCGGTGTGAGGCGTGCGCCCGCCAGCGCCCTCACCAGCGTCCAGGAGGTGGAAGGTAACGTGTGTGTTTAGAAAAACCAGAGGCGCTCTGGCTGGACTCTGAGGTCACACGGAGGACTGCTGCCTGACCCTCCAGAATTTCAGGTGCTCGAAAACCCCCCCAACGCACCCGCTTCTTGCCCTGAGGTGGGAAGGCACGGGACGCTGGGAAAACCACCGATTCCGCAGACTGACTAAGGGCCACGGCTACCCAGGGGTCTCGTGGAGTCCTGCCTGCTCTCCTCAGACGAGACAGGCAGCACCGGCTGGAACGCGGCTGCCTCTGAGTACGGAGGCCCGCGTTTTGTTCTAACGGCCCGTAACTCTGGCCCTACTGCCCTGGAAACAAAACATTGAAGGTGAGCTACTTACAGCGTCGTATAAGGAATACAGCCAGCGAGGCCATGAAGTCAGGTTTGCACAATGAAACTTTCTCTGAAAACAGAAAAAGAAGTCACTTAATAAAGTGACCGCACACAATGAAGATTCTTACCATAGAAAGAGCTGCATCTGAAAAGTTCTTCTGGCCTCAGAAAAAGACTTTCTAGTTTCAAAAAGAAGAAAAGTTTTGTAGGCATTTTCCTAATAGATGATTGCCTATTAAGTTTGATAATCATGTTTTTATAGCAACTGTAGCAAGGGGATGCGCGCAGCTGAGCTGCTGCAGCCGTGAGCTGGAAGCCCCCGGAACTTCCGTCCTCAGTAACTGGCCGCACACGCGTGCGCTCACCCCAGGGGAGGCTCTGCCTGACCAAAGAGGGGGCACGGGAACAAGCAGAACCGCCCTGCACTGCGGACACACAGGAGCCTGCGTGGGCACGGAGCAGGGTGGACCCCGCAGGGCTTCACTGGGGTGGAACCAGACAAGCAAGACAACCCTGAGGAGAGACAGGGAAACCTGTGCGCGCGCCGCAGGGCCAGACGGACAGCCGCGGGCTGGGGCGGCGTGGGCACTCGGCGGACGGATGACCTGCCTGCTGCCACCGGGCATGCCCGCCCACTGCCCAGTCCAGCGACACCAGAAGTTGAGACGAGAACGTTGCTCTTGCCCTGGCCGGTGCGGCCTGGTTGCAGTGTTGTCCCGCAAACCGAAAGGTCGCGGGTTCCGCTCCTGGTCAGGGCACACGCCTAGGGTGCCGGTTCAGTCCCCGGTTGGGGCCCGTAGGAGGCAACCAATCGATGTTGGTCACATCAGCATTTCTCTCCTTCCCCCCCCCCCCGCCCCCAAACCAATAAGCATGTCCTCAGGTGAGGATTTAAAAATTTAAAAAAAAAAAAAAAAAAAAAAAAAAAAAAGATTGTTCCTCCCCCGCGATGGCGCCGAACAAGAACGCTCACGGGCGCGTGGGGGCTCTGAGGAGAAGGCCTGAGGCTGACGCCAGGCTTGGTCTGGAGGTGTCGCTCACAGGGCACGACAGTTACGTGCAGGTGTTTCGGGAGCTGCTACCTGGATGAGGACAGACTTGTTCTAGAAGGCTCCTGGGCTACAGCGCCAACCAGTGTGCCCCTTACGGGGAAGAGCTGTCGGCTCAGTGTGACCCTCCTCACGCGTGGAGCCCCCCAGAGACGGGCTGGGCGCGTCCGAGCGCAGGCGTGGGCGGCAGCTCCAGCCCCGGGGGGTCGGGGCAGCCCCGCAGGCTTTCTCTGGTCCGCCCTTCCCACTGGGGCCAAAGCTGAGGGTCAGGACTTCGTCAGCTCACGTACAGAACCCACCAGGCTACACGCAGCCCGCCAGGCAGCTGACGGGCAGCGACAACAACGGCAGCCACTCCCGTGTCTCACCGGGACTCCGCGAGCGCGGTGGCACCCCCGCCTCCCGCACATGAGACAGGCGCAGAGGAGGGGACGGCCTCAGGTCACAGACGGGAACGGGGAGTCGGGCTCCAGTCCGGCCTCGCTCGTACGCCCATGGGTGCTCTGGCGATTAGAGACAAGGCTGAAACCAAGCCGTGGGGCCCCCGCGGTAGTGGGGCGATGCCTGCTTCCCTCCGGAGCGACGCCATCACACAGAGTGACGGGGCCAGCAGAGGGCCGGCGAAGCGCCCGCCGGCCCCCCGGCCCAGGCGCGAGAGACCCGTCTGGCAACGCAGATGCCTGTCTCCCGGAGCAGCCGTCGCTTCCCACGACAGCACGGGGACCGTTCTGATTTCATTAGAAGCAATGAAATCGAAAGTAAAAAGTAAAAGGTTTAATTTTACTCTTTTTAAAGAAATGATTTTGCACAAGAAAGTCGCTTCTAGCTATGATTTAGAATAATTTAAAAAAAAGCTTCAACTCCACAAGGAAAGGCCCTTCCGTAGGGCAGAGCGCACCAAAAGCAAAGCGAAAAGACAAGCGGCAAATGGGCGAGATGCCCGGGGCACGTGCCTTGGAGACACAGGCCCCTCCCCAGCGGAATGAAGCACCAGGGCCGCAGGGGGCGGAGGTGTGGGCCGGCGCCCCTCCTCCAGGCACACGCGTTCCTGTCACCCACAGTCCCACCTCCTTCGCAAAGTCGGCCTCCAACAAGGGCCGTGCTGCACCCACCAGACCAGCGGGGAGGCTGGACGCCACGCGGTCTGCAAAGCCCCGCCCGGACTCAGGACGAGGAGGGATGCGCTCAGGCAGCGGCTCTGAAAACGCGTGCGAAACTATACGGGTGCCCGTCGCCTGGCCACGCCCCCAAAAACGCACCCCACGCTCACCTGCACGGAGGCGTCCCTCCATGCGCACGTGGCGGCCCCGCAGCCCACAGCGCAGACGGCTGGGAGGCGGCCCGGGGGCCGGCACGGTGCGTGCCCCGCGACAGGCAGGGGAGCTGGCCGGTGTCAGCGCGGCTGCCCTGGAAGAGGGACCGGCCTGCTGGCCTGCGGCCCCGCCCCTCCGCATCCTGCTCAGGCCTCCCGCTTGGGGCCGGCAGGAGTCCCGGGGCCCCCCAACCTGGCAGAGACGGACAGCGTGCGCTGCAGTCACGCTCCTGCCATGTTTCCATGCGTGGTCATTTCCTACAGGTCATACCCACTCGGTGCACAGAACCCGCGGCAAAAGCACAGTGTGTGTCAGGTGTGAAACAGGCCACACCGCATGGCTGGCAACAGCCACCTGCACACTTACGGCAGTATCACTACCGTTCGGTCCCCAGAAACGTCAGTGTCGCAGCTGCTTGGGGACCTTTGAGCGGCCTAAGGACAACGTTCCCATGAGACTCTTCTAGAAACACTGAGAACCGAGACACAGCAAGCGGACCAGCGAGGCTCCAGCAACCCGGCCGAGCCCGCGGCTCCCGGCAGCCCCTGCGCGGGCCTGTCTGGAGCGCCGGACAGCGGCGATGTGGGGCGCACGCTGCCGGGGGCTCCGCAGACGCTGCACCCGCTCACTCCCCCATCCGGCCTCGCCGCCCCACCTGACAAAGAGGAAGGGGCGATCTGCGCAGTGTTTATCAGGTTACCGTGGCAACTGTCCGTATTTTCAAAACATAAACCTCAAAAAGCCAAGGGACTCTAAATTTAGAAACTAGTCATCTTTTCCTTTAGGCAGAGATCACAAACACTACTGTTTTGTACTCAAAACTGATACATCTCACCAATGAGTAGGAACAGGCCTCATCAGATTTTTCCCAAGAGGACGACTTAGCCTAAAGGACGCACAGGAGATCTGGCATCGCGCAAGCCTCGCTTCCGCAGAGCACGCGGCCACAGGCCGAGGCTGGCAATGCCCGCGGCACTGTCCGAGGGCGCCAGGAAGGCCGCTCCGCAGAAGCCCGGAGGGGTCGCACGCACGCTCCTGCCAGGCCCTGGGCTTACGGCTCGAGCCACACGTCTGACGTGGCTACGGTGGGAGGAAAGGACCCTGCAGCACCGAAACCGTGGGGCTGCCAGCACAGGGCGGAGCCACTGCCGCGAGAAGAGCTCCCGCCCTGTGGCGGACGGGAGCCCCGCGTGGCCCCAATACCGCCCAGGCGTCTGGGGAACGGGAGCCGACAGCTCTGCGTCTCCTCCTCAGAGACCGGACAAACGGCACGCGGCCCCACTCTCGGCGGCCACCCGGGAACCAGCTCTCACCTTCTGGTATTTCTGCCACCACGTGTAGGAGCAGCGGTCCTCCCGGGAGCCGGGCTTGGCAGGGAACAGCTGGCGCCTGCTGAGCGACTCCAGCTGAACGGCCGACATGGTGGAGGGCAGCGCGCACTCGGGCAGGATCTGCACCCGCGCCTGCTGGATCCTGAAACCGGGGGCCGGCACGCGCTCGGGTTTGAGGTGGGTTCGCTCCACCTCGAGTTTCTAACCCGCAGGCTAATCTTCAGTACTGAATTTTCAAAGTTTTCCTTTTTGAACACATTCATCAAATGCTGATGTTCAGATATAAAAAATTTCAAAACTACTCTATTTCATAGATCATATCAACGTTGAAACCAAAGAAAACCTCAGGGACGGATTCCCACCTCACAGCCCCGCTTGGCCGGGCGCAGGCGGGGCCTCTACCGGCCGCCAGTGACCTCGGCCAGGGCCGACCAGGGGTGGCCCCTGCCCACCCAGGCAGGCTGCGTGGTCCCCAGGCCCAGCCACGGTCCTCAGGACGCTCCTGGGCTGAGGGGGCCGGGCGGACACCCCGGGGGGCCGCGCCACACTTATAGGGCTGCGAGCGTCTGCAAGCCGCGCGTCCCGGGGACTGGGGGGGAGGGGGCGCTGGGAACACCTGTGGGCCCCGCCCCCCCCCACACCCCTCCAGCCCCAGGCTCGCCCTGCCAGGCTCCACACTGCCCCAACAGTGCAGACCCGCCTGCAGCGAGGCGCGCGGGCAGTTCTCACCCTCGGGCAGCTGGCGCTCTGGCTGAGCCTGGGAGCGCCTCCCCCCCCAGTCCCTGCCAGAGGGGCGGGCCACGCCCACGACAGACAACACCCAGTGATCAGGACACGTTTTAAAAAAAAATAGAGGATAACGTAAAGTGAGCTGGGTTTTTAAAAATGAGTTTAGTATTTCTTACGCTTATGAAAAAACTCTGACCCCCGAGAGTCGTGCCGAATACCTGCTGAAACAAGTCGCCCACCACTCTGACCTGGGCAAGGCGCAGAGCCAACAAGCGCCCGTGGACTGCTCACGCTGCGTGCGGCACGTTTATGGCGAGAGGCACTGACTGCCCGTGGCCCCTGCCACTCGGACAGGGCGGCTGGAGCCAGCGTGGCTCCCACCCACCGCAGGGCCCCCGACACCTCCCACCTGCCCTCACTCCGAGGAGAAGCCCTTAGTCCCCGAGGCTGCACCGCAAAGGTCTCTGGGCCCTCAGACCTGCGGGGCATCAGAGTCACCTGGGATCCTGGACGGGGCTGCGGCCTCCCCCACCCGTCACCCGCTAGGGGTGGGGACGAGGCTGGGACTCAGGCCTCTGCAGCTTTAGAGACGTCCCAAGTGACTGGGATGCACAGCACGTTTGGAAGCCACCAGGCTAACCCTCCAAAGGGAAAGAGAACGGCCAGTCCCAGTTATGGGCAGTGGAAGGTCAGCAGAATAGGAGAACCCCGCACCGCGGCAGCGGCCCGCGTGGCCCCTCACCCGTCGGCCTGCGTCCTCAGCTCCAGGACCCGGAACCTCTGCCGCCCCACCGCCTTCACCTTCACCACCTCGATCCCGAAGTCCTGCTCCTCCCGGTAGGCGTAGATCTCCGCCGTCGTCCCGAACTGCGCTTCCCGCTCCTGCGCGTTACTTCCAGGGCGAGCGTGGCAGGGACACAGGTCAGAACGTTTAATTTCTCAATATGCAAAGCCGATGACAGCAACACACGTGGGCCAAGTCACAGTGACGACCCTCACTGCGAAGCTCATTATACTTTTAATGCTATCGGGGGCGGGGGGAGTGCGGTAGAGGGGGTGGCCCCCCAAAGCACAGTGAGAGCCTTTCAGGGAAAGGACAGGCTGCTGGTCACTGCAATGGCTAGGACTGGTGGGGGCACGCACACACTCCTTCAGGCAGCAGCCCCTCTTCCTGCTGCGGGTTTGCGGGTTTGCGGGTTTGCGGGCTCGCCGCACCGTGGCAGGGACTCCCCGCTCACTCCCCGCCCCTTCCCGCCGCGCGCCGTCCGTGAGGGACAAGGCCAGGGCCCTGCACGCGGACAGCGCCCTCTGTAAGAGCCGCCCTCTCCGTCTCGGGGAGACGCCCGCCCCACTGTGAGCACCGGCGGGCCTCGGGCCTCAGGCCGGAGAGCTGGCTGCCTGCGGAGGGAAGGTGGGCGGGGGGCGCCGGCCTGGACGCGAGCGCCCCAGCCCCCTTCGCCAGGACCGCTCCCCTGGCCCCCGCCCGCCCCGTCTCCGGGGCGGCACTGTGGCCGTGCGCTGGGGCCTGACCGCGGACCGCGCGGCGTGCACCCACCTGTACGCGAGGACCGCGAAGGTCCTGTCCTTCTGAATCAAATTGCGCACCATGCTGACCTCCTGCGGGCGGAAGAGCTGCAGGGGCAGGGTCTGCCCCGGGATCAGGATCACGGCCACCTGCGGCAGGACCGGGATCACCTGGCAGCTGTCGTCGTCGTGCAGGGTCCGGCCGTGGAACTCCTCCATGTCGGCCCCCAGGTACTGCGAGACAGGCACAGACCCCGTCACCCCGCGGTGTCCCCGGCGGGGGCGGGGCGCAGCGCGCGGGCTCAGCGACTCAGCAAACCAGGGTAAGGGACATGCGGACCAGGGCCACAAACGTTCCCTCAAATGACAGCACGCTGGGAAGCCTTGCTTTGACTCTTAGAGGGAACGCTCGTATTTCCTAAGATCTCTCTCAGACGACTTCAAGACCATTTTTTCGGCTCAAAATACTGGGTTGGCCAAAAAGTTTGTATAGTTTTTTCCGTAAAATAAAAGACACATTCCTCATTTCCACCAATAACCTGATCGCTCAGGATGCTCTGAGGGTGCTGGCGGTCTCCCGCACGATCGCATGTTGACTGCTCTTAGTTACTGTCTCGATTCGATCGCTGGCCCTGTCACCTGGTCGGCCTGACCGCGGGGCATCGTCCAGCGAGAATTCTCCAGCACCGAACTCGGAAACTCTGCAAGCCACTTTTTAACACGTTCCACCAGCCACCTCCTCCACACACAGCACAAATCTTTTTTGGAGTTTCAGTTGTGTTTTAACCTTTCTTGAAATAACAAAGCATAGTATACAGAAAATGTTGCGTATTTTCTTCCATCTTCAATATTAAAATGGCCACACAAAAACTGACCAGTTCTCATGTTTTTTTTCTTTTAAAGCACACCGATAGGATAGCTGTCACAATGCAATCAAACAAAACTGTTTCAAATGACGCCAAAGTCAACCAAGGACTACTACAGCCATCATAGGGAAAAAAATCTAAACAAACTTTTTGGCCGACCAGCTATGTCTATTAACTCTGTTATAAGTGACATACCGTATGCGAGGTTGGCAGACTGGTGTCAAAATTTATGACGTTGGGTTTCTTGGCCTCTTTGCCATCCTGGTCTTCCACTTCCATTTCGATCCCCTCTTCCTCCTCGCTCTCCGCTGTAAACAGAAGGTGGGACGATGAGCCAGATGTGTGGCTACGTCACAGCTGCGCTCCCTTCCGAAGGCACAACCCCCTGTGGGGGGGCCCAGGCCCTGGAGCGCGGGGCCCCAAGCACCACTGCCTTCCTACCGCCCACAGCTGGGCCGCCGACAGCTGGGGGGCCACTCGGGGCTGGGGGCTGGGGGCTGTGCCGGCGCTGCCACTAACTCCTCTGTTAGCCCACTGTTTGTTTTAAGATCTTTTAGATTCACAGAAAAGTGATGCTCTCCGCCCCCCAGCCCCGCCCCTTCCTCCTCCTTTCTCTAAAAAAAAAAAAAAATCACTGAAAAATTTTGCATGAAATAGAAAACATTTTAAAAGAAGTGTCTTAGAAAGCCTTCTCCACACAAAATGTTTAATTTATGAAAACTGATACTCCAAAACCTGACACCACTAACAATAGCTTTGAAAGTTAGGCAAAGCTGCCCTAAACTGATGCTACTCTGTTCGACGGGGTCTGTCCTTTCCATGCCAGCCGGGGGGACCCCCACCCTGCACCAGGGGCGCGCAGCCAGAGGGGTCCCGCCCCTCAGGGCACGTGGGGCTGCCTGGAAATGACCGGGGCAGCCCTGCCAGCGTCCGGTGGGCACCGCAAGGGATGCTGCTCAACGGCCCACAGGACAAGCCCCACGGCCAAGACCTCCACACCCAAAATGTCAAAGGCCCGGAGACTGAGACACCCCGCCTGGAATCACCACGCAGATGTGGTGAACCTCACTTCACCTCACATTTCATGTGTTTCTAAATGCTCCAAATAATCTTCAAAGTAAGTAAAGTGTCACCGCGAAAGCATCATTTACTTTGTGTTTAACGTTGTTTAAATCACACTCCCTCCAGCCAGGTCCCTGACAAGAAAACACAAACGCCTTTCAATACAGTCATTGCTTTGGGCGTATGAATTCCTAGATATAAAGCTTTGTCAAAGAACACAATTATTTCACCTCAAATAGTCAACGGTCTAACACTTTGTGTAAGTACGACTTTTTCCTAAGAACACAGAGGTTTCACCAAGAGATGAAGAAAATGTAAACTGATGATACAAACAGCCTGAGTTGAATTCCTTGCATTTACAATTCTGACCGAAGGGCAGTCACCGGGCCGGCGGAGGACCCACAGGCTGTCCCGGGGAAAGCTGAATGGGTCCACTACGAGCGCACAGGCTGGAGCCCTTCACTTTAAAACTTAGACTGTAACTGTTGTGACTTCCAGGCTCTGAACGAGTGCCTTATATGCAGCGGCCTTTCTTTGCCTCCTTGGCCGTTCGCCCGTGTGTCCTCGTGCACTTGGAACTACGGAGCTGCCTCCCCGGCCAGAAAGAGGGGCGCTCCTGGACACCGCGCAGGCCCCACGGACTGATGGGCCGACGACCCGCAGCTTCTTCACAGGCACCTCCTGTGTGACTAAGCACACTGCTCTCGCATCTACAGCCTGTTGCCCTCCGGACGTCCTGAACAACCCCGCCGAGAACCACCGCAGGGAAGTCTGAGCCCTGGGGTCCCACGGGAGCCCCACGTGAACGCACTGCCGGAACTCGGCGGCCGAGGCAGGGCCGACACACTCAGCTTTGTGTCAGTTCAGCTGCTGACTTCAGCACAGCCTCCGACCCTGGTTCATTTGCGCACAACAGGCCCCCTGCATGGGCTGCATGGGAGAGGCACGCAGTCTCTCCCTCCTGCAACCCGCGCAGCTCCCGGGACACGAGTTACCCCCTAAGCACAGCTTTCCCTGGGTAACTGCCCGGGCCCACAACTGTGTCTTGGACAGGAAACCCCACGAGCCATCTGCGTGAGATGGAAGCTACCCAACCACCTCTCCGTCTGGCTTCCTGCGGCCTCCAGACGCACTCCGCACCCTCCCGCCCCTCTGAGGACCGCAGAGTGCGCCGACCTGCCCGGTCATGGCCACAGCCGCTGTGGTCGCACCCAGAGACTCGCTCCAGGACCCAGCCGGCCCGCCGCGCCAAGCTAACGTCTCCGAAGCGCGGAGACGCCTGGAGGGCAGGTCGTGCGCCGATTACTCGGGGTCTCGACAGCGAGGGGGTCGAGAGCGACCACGCGGACAGAGAGACACAGACAGACGCGGACGGGGACAGACTGACAACGGCGCGGGGGGCTCGGCGGGACGTGCGCGCTCGGGGCACGCGGGCTGTCACCACCAAGGGACGGTGACCGGGGAGAGGTTCCGGCCGCGGCCCGGCCCGGCCCCCGGCATCCCCGGAGCCACGCCCTGGACCCTGCCCGACCCCCGCGCACAGCCCGCGGCCTTCGGACGCGCGCCCGCCGCCCCGCCCCGCCTCGCCCGGAGGTTACCAGGCAGCAGTGGCAGGTGGTTGCCCATGTCGTGCGCAGCGTCCTGCGGGTTGCCCTCGCCCGCCATGTCTGTTTACCCGCACAGCATGCTGGGACCGGACGGGGCCCGCCCTCCCCGCCGCCGCGCACGCGCCGCAGCGCCCCCCGGCAGCCCTCGCGGGCAGGGCGCGGCCACGCGCCACAGCGCCCTCTGGCGGCCGCCGCGGGCAGGGCGCGGGCGGGGCCGCTGGAGTCGCGGGGACCCAGGGGCGTCCCTGCCACCCTCGACTTCCTGCCCGCGGGGTGCACAGAGCCCCGGTCTTGAGAAACCGAGGCTCAGAGTCTTGCCTGCACCTCGCTCTTGCCGCAGGCGGCCGGGAGCCGACAAAGCCCGTTCACACAGCGTGAGCTCCACCCTCTAAGTCCGACGCCTGCCGGGACGACTGGAAGGGCACGTCGTTATCTCCGGGTGGCTGGATAGTCGCTGACTGTCCTTCCCAGTAGGTCCATGTATAGTCCACAGTTAGCATGCATGAATCAGAAACAGCCGAGGTGCTGGTGCCATGGCATGGGCACCGATCGCCAGAGTTAAAACTGCCTCGTGAAATGACACCCAGGGAGCACGAGCAGTCCGAACGCGGAGACAGTGGACACAGTTCGGTTGTCGTAGCGGTGGGGCTGTGACCCGGCATCCCCTGGGGCCTCGGTCAGGTCACCTGCCCTCCAGAGTCCCCGCTCCTGCAGACTTGCTCTCCCATCCCTGAGTGACACTCCTTGGTTTCCCCAAGGCTCACGGCAGAGGGGCTGCAGGCGAGGAAGGGACGTGGGCTTCGCGTGTTCGGGCGACAGGGCTCTTCCCGGATGGATGGTGAATGAATCCCAGAACCAAGTCTTTCCTTGCAGACAGTAAACACAGACCCATGGATTTCCATTCTGATGCACGTCTGAGAACAATGTATTAATAAAGTTGACAATACCGGTCACTAAAACTTGGTTTTCAAGAACTACAGTTAGTACCCGAGTTTGCAGGAGGCTGGAATGCTAGGCTCCGCCCAGCACTTGGGTAATGCTGCAAGGCTGCCACTGAGCCTGCGCTGGCGCAGGCAGGTGGAGCCGCGCTCCAGCATTTTTCTGGAAGGTGCTGCGCTTGGATACATCATCCGGGCAGCCCTCAATTGGCCTCGGTTTGGGGTTGTTGCTCTTATTGTTGCATGAATCAATACTGTTTGTCTGTTTGTTTGTTGTTTGTTTCTTTGCGTTTGCTTTTGTCAATCAGTATGTTGGCTGACAGGTACATTTTCAGAGGTTTTATTGTCCCTGCGCTTCCTCTAGTGCTTGGCTGTCTGGGGGTCCTCTTGTTGCAGATGGGCACAGGTACCCAGGCTCTTAGGGAACTCGAACAATGAATTGAACCGAGCACACAGAAAGAGAGAGAGAGATTTATTAAGCGATCGTATGCTCCCCAGAACATGGGAGTGGACCAGCTCCGGCGGAGACTGACCCTCCGTGGCCGGAGCGATTCTCACAGGGCAGGTATTTCCTGGCTGGTTTTGACGAGCTTTTATTGTGCCTATGCAAGTGGTTACATTACCTTTAAGCTGCTGCACATGCGGTCCTCCGTGATTTTCCTTGATTGCCCACCGGGGAAGTGGGCCCCACCATGCTGATTTGTTGTGACGCTGTTATAATGAAGCGGGGGTCCTGGAGCACCTGCTGCGCAGGTACAGTCAGGATTCACTGTGACTCAGCGCTTTTCCAGAAAGTGGGAGCCACAGGTCTTGGAACAGCGTCCCTGTCCTGTGTCGATGTCCTTTGTGGCCCAGCCGGGGGCGCCTCCAGAGCTTCCCCTCCCGTCCCCCTCCTGCCTCGCTGTTGCTCTCGGAAGCCGGGGCACACGGGCAAGACACAGGGCTCGGCCTGGCCGTGATGAGTTGAGATCTCCAAAGTGAGGCAGCCACCGCTGCGTAGCCCAGCTGATGGCCTCTGTGCCTTGTCACGCGGCCAGTTTCCTATGGGCGGGGGTCTCGGCGCCGGCCACCCCGCCCCGATCAGGCCCCCTGACTGTGCGGGTTTAAGCTCACACCGGGCCCGAGCCTGGGACAGCGGCCGCGCTGGGACCCGTCGGCCCCCACTGCCAGCCTGCTCCGTGCCAGGCTCGGGCCTGGAAGAACGGGGGCGAAGCCCTCATTACTCGGAACCGTCCAAGCCGCAATGCTGCTGAGGATAGACTTTGGCCCAATGCCCGGGGCAGTGATATAATCGATGGATACAAAGAGCCATCCCAGGTTCCCGCAGAAGCCTGCCCCACCCCACTCCACGAGCAGCCCTGCAGCCAGAACTCCTTCCTCGTCTCTCCAAGGGACTGGGGCACTTGCCGCTTCATTTTGAAATTTTATGTTCACGGCTGCCGCAACCCAGCTCTGCAGAGTGTGGCCGACAGGGAACCTGCCTCACTCAGCTCTGGGGGCTCCGTTGGGGGGTTGGGGGGCAGGCGGTGGATAAACAATCCCTGGACTGACTTCAGCTCAGAAGAACACAGGACAGACAGAGAAGTCCACCTCTCTCTGTCCCATCCCGGGTCCTGGCACATGCTCTGAGAGCGACAGCTTGCAGAGGGAACCCAGCTGTCTTGAAAAGAAGGGCAGGTCTCCAGACCCCAACGTAGGGCAGAGAAGAGGGAGGGCCTTGAGGAGAACGTCTCCGTAACCCCCCCAACTGCATGCTGTCCACCCGCAGACCTGGGGATGGCACCTTCGCACCCAAGGCTTCAGGTCACCCTCCCAGAGCCCCGTCTTTTGGAGGTTGGCGTCCAAAAGTACAGCAGGGGGACCAGAGCCGAAGGTCCAGGACAGAGGCCGCCCGGCTTGGAAGCAGCAGGATTCAGATCCAGCCTGTCCCCAACTTGATCACCGCAAACAAGGGGGCTTTCAGACACCAGGCGGTGCAGGCAGTGCGGGGGGGCGGGGGGCAGACCGGAAGGGGGAGGGCAAGGTGGTGGGGGCTGGGTGGGACAGTCGCTCAGCAGGATGTCGCGTCCTAATCCCCGAACCCGTGAACAAGTATCTGACAGGGTAAAGGGGACTTTGTGGATGTGTTCAGCTGGGGACCTTGAGCTGGGAAATTACCTGGAGTAATTATCTGGGGAGCTCAATGCTATCTCTAGGGACCTTACAGGAAGAGGCCAGGAGGGTCAGTGACAGGGCAGACGTGCCCGTGACAGGTCCGGCGAGGGGGGGCCACCAGCCAGTGCCGTGTGGTGGCAGCCGCAGGCTAAGCCGGGGAGGGAGGGACGCGAGGCTCCCTTAGAGCCCCGGGAGAACGCGGCCTCTCTGACACCTTGTAAGACAGACAGATTCTGGGCTTCTGACCTCAGAACTGTAGCATGATAAATCTGTGTCTTTTCGAGCTGCCGATTTGTAGCGATTTGTCACAATAGGGACTGGAGGTGAATTCAGGGCGGGGCAGAATGTGGGGAAGCAGAGGCCTGGGCCGGGAGGAGGCCCGGAGGTCAGCTGGGTTGGGGGCGGGGCTGGACAGGGCGAGCGGCCTGAGGTGCTTGCTCAGGTGCAGCTCCCTGCACCCCCCTCCGCTTGTAACTTCCCAATACAGCTGCTCCTCCGGTGACCCCCAGGACCTTGTATGTGCAGCGGTGACCAGAGGGTGACCAGAGTCCGTTACGGCCTGTGCGGACAGAACAATACATGACAGCAACCAGTCTGAGAACACTGAGCTGGCATTTG